TTCCTTTGGCAAAATGGGTCAAAAGAAGGACTTGACAGGCTCAGAAAAGTCAAAATAGTGAGATATCTTGCAGAGGGATGCAGCACTCTTAAAATTGCAAAGCTTCTGAAGCGTGATCATCGAACAATCAAGCGTTTCATTCAAAATAGTCAACAGGGTCGCAAAAAGCGTGTGGAAAAACCAAGGCGCAAAATAACTGCCCATGAACTGAGAAAAGTCAGGCGTGCAGCTGCCACGATGCCACTTGCCACCAGTTTGGCCATATTTCAGAGCTGCAACATTACTGGAGTGCCCAAAAGCACAAGTTGTGCAATACTCAGAGACATGGCCAAGGTAAGAAAGCCTGAAAGACGACCACCACTGAACAAGACACACAAGCTGAAGCGTCAAGACTGGGCCAAGAAATATCTCAAGACTGATTTTTCTAAGGATTTATGGACTGATGAAATGAGAGTGAGTCTTGATGGGCCAGATGGATGGGCCCGTGGCTGGATTGGTAAAGGGCAGAGAGCTCCAGTCCGACTCAGACGCCAGCAAGGTGGAGGTGGAGTACTGGTTTGGGCTGGTATCATCAAAAGATGAGCTTGTTAGCCTTTTCGGGTTGAGGATGGAGTCAAGCTCAACTCCCAGTCCTACTGCCAGTTCCTGGAAGACACCTTCTTCAAGCAGTGGTACAGGAAGAAGTCTGCATCCTTCAAGAAAAACATGATTTTCATGCAGGACAATGCTCCATCACACGCGTCCAAGTACTCCACAGCGTGGCTGGCAAGAAAGGGTATAAAAGAAGAAAATCTAATGACATAGCCTCCTTGTTCACCTGATCTGAACCCCATTGAGAACCTGCGGTCCATCATCAAATGTGAGATTTACAAGGAGGGAAAACAGTACACCTCTCTGAACAGTGTCTGGGAGGCTGTGGTTGCTGCTGCACGCAATGTTGATGGTGAACAGATCAAAACACTGACAGAATCCATGGATGGCAGGCTTTTGAGTGTCCTTGCAAAGAAAGGTGGCTATATTGGTCACTGATTTGTTTTGTTTTGTTTTTGAATGTCAGAAATGTATATTTGTGAATGTTGAGATGTTATATTGGTTTCACTGGTAATAATAAATAATTGAAATGGGTATATATTTGTTTTTTGTTAAGTTGCCTAATAATTATGCACAGTAATAGTCACCTGCACACACAGATATCCCCCTAACATAGCTATAACTAAAAACAAACTAAAAACTACTTCCAAAAATATTCAGCTTTGATATTAATGAGTTTTTTGGGTTCATTGAGAACATGGTTGTTGTTCAATAATAAAATTAATCCTCAAAAATACAACTTGCCTAATAATTCTGCACTCCCTGTATAACATCAGAAAGAAATGCATTTTCATTACATTCGTGTCATTTATAAAAAGCTTAACGTGGTGTCTATACATGTTGAGGCGTGCGAGAGCACCCAGCCGGGCGCAGCTTGTATCTAGGTTTCCCCTGTGAGTGGGCTATGGTGTTGAGTCTTGGCCGGCCCCGTTGTGTGTAGTGTTGTATATGCTCGGTATCTGCGGTCTGCGGTTTGTCTGTCTGGGTGCCCTATGGTGCCTCCCTGTCTTGGTCAGGTCCCTAGTAGTGTCGTTGCTTTCGGTCTGGACCCTCCCGATTCCCTGTTGGGCTTGTCTCTGGTGCCGGAGCTGGGGTGTCCACTGTGTCCGTCTCATGTGTATGTCACTTCCCCGTGGGCGTCCCATAGCCCCTCAGCGGTGACGCTCTAAAGAGTGTGGGTAGTTGGGTGGGGGCCCTTCCCCGACTCTGGGCGTGGTTGTCGGCGTATGTGTTGCAGCTGGGGTACTGTGTCTGCCCGCTGCGGGGTACTACGTCCGAACACTGTGGTCTGGGGCTTCTGGGAGTTGTTGGGTGGGGCTGCATCCGGTGGTTTGCAGTCCGTTAGGGTCGGGTGGTCAGTGAGGTATACAAATCCGATGGTTTAGACCCCTGGTCCCCTTTTGCTGTTTGACGTGTAGCTGGGGTGGGTGGTGGGAATGGTGGTTAGGCCGCCCCCCAGCCGTCTGCCCTGGTGGGCCGGTCGCCCGGCGTGCCTAAGCGTGTCTCTAGTCAGCTGCGGTCCGGGAGTGTGTGGGTCCGTCCCTAGAGTTGGGGCTGAGTCCTCTTCAGGTCGTTGGTTGTCCTGTGGCCCGTCTGGGACATGTGAGCGAGGGTCAGTGTGTGCGTCCCCTGGTGTCGCTTTGGTGTGGTGTGGGTCCGGTTCTGTAGGGTGTGTTTAGTCCGTCTGCGTCCTGTCTGGGCCTGTCTCTGGGGGTGGTATGGACCCCAGGGGTGGCCATCACCGAGGGGTCTCTGGTCCCAGGTCTAACGGGTATTGAGCCTGGGATGCCTGTCTGTTCCGGGCCCGCTATTCGGGTGCTTGGTGGGGTGTCCCCCTGAGTTGCGTAAGGCCGTCGTGTGGGGGTGTTGCTCCGTGGTTCTTCCCTGGGGTACCCCCCCCGTGTTGCCCCCTTTCAGTCGGACAGTCTACTCGGCCCCTTGCCGGGGTGTCTACGTTCTCCCTAAACTGTATGGTCCGTCAGGTGGGGGTTCAACGTGTGTAGTGGTGGGGTGTGACTGTGAAACCCGTCTGAGGGCCGGGCGCTGCCAGGTGTGGTCGGCCCCCCCAGGTGGCGATGGGCCCCTTTGCTGTGTCCTTAGTCTTGTCTGTGAGGCGTGACATGTTCCTTGGGGTCTTAAACGCCCCCCCTCCCCCTCCCGGCTGCTTGCGATGTGGCAAATCCCGAGGCAGTTGGGGGAGGCTCAGGCAGCCGCGGGAGGCCCAGGTGGACCAGGAGGGTAGGGATTTCCGTGGCGTTGGAGATGGAGTGGAACCTGCCCTCCCTACGGACTATGAGCTTGAAAGGGTGGCCCCAAGCGTACCTGAGGCCATGCTGTGTGAGGTGCTGAGTGAGGGGGCGCAGTTCCCGTCTTCTTTTCAGGGTGGTCGGCGCCAGGTCCTGGAATAGCTGGACCTGGACGCCCTCCACCTCTATGGGAGTCTCTCTGGCTGCCTTCATAATGCGCTCCTTGATATGGTAAAAGTGGAGTCGCACTATCACGTCCCTTGGGGTGGCTGTGTTGGTGCTAGGAGCTCTCAGTGCCCGGTGTGCCCGGTCCATGAGCAAGTCGGTGGTGGAGGCTTCTGGCAGGAGATTCTGGAACACTTCTGTGAGGGTGGCGGTGAGCAGCTCCGTGGAGATGGTCTCCGGTATGCCCCTCACCCTAATGTTATTCCTTCTGGTCCTGTTGTTGAGGTCCTCGTTGGAGTCCTCTAGGGAGCGCAGTTGCTCGCGGAGGTCTTGTAGCTCCCCGCCATGCGCCTGCACGGTCTCCAATGCCTCCGCCATTTTTGTTTCAGTGGCATGCGTTCGGGCCGTCAGATCTGCCATCCCCTCCATGATCGGCCCCAGCTTCTTTTCCAGCTCTTCTGCCACCGATTTGCGGATGTCGGCAAGGAACCCTTTCATGTCCTGCCGTGTCAGTGGGGCTTCCGCCCTGTCCGAGACTGTGTGGCTGCTCATCTCGGAGTCAGTGTCGGACGGGGAGTGTGGCGAAGATGGCGCCTGGGCCTTCACGGCCTTTTGCTGAAAAATTGGCGCGACCGCCGAGTTGCGGGTTTTCTTGCCGCCGCCCATGTAGAGGTGAGCAGGGGTCTTGGGATGGGTGTCCGGGCGGTTTGGGAGTGTCGGGGGGGCTCGGGTGCGTTAGGTGGCTATAGAGAACTGCGAGGCTGAGGCAGAGCTCGGGGATTACGCGGCCATTTCCCTGCTCAGCCAAGCTCCGCCTCCCACCGGCCTAAAATTTGAATTATGTGAGCCGGGATATTCTTCTTAGAAGCTGTAGTGGCGGCTCCTATTCTAAATGAGTGGCCAGAGTAATTTGCTGGGTTTAATCCTAAACGGATCAACAACATCCTAACATACACCATGAATTTACTTGTTGTTAACTTGTTACCGTGTAACGTAAGGAGTGGTTGTGTAAGAGCTATGGTACAAGAGGAGAGGTATTTGTCGAAAACTTCCACCGGACACCAATTATTGTTAGTGGGGTAATAGGTGATAGTGACAGTTTGTCCTTTAGCAGTAGTTTTGGTATGGTGAAGGGATAGCACTTAGTGATATAGTACTTTTACCAGATTCGACCTAGTGATGAAGTCAGGGGAGTTATAGTTAGTGGTGGTGAACTCTTTGGGCCTAAGAAAACCGTAAAAAGCCAAATAGATGGCTGTTTTAATTACACGGTTGGTATGGGCTTCGAATGGTGAGGTGTCTAGCAGATTGGATAGTGACTGAAACAAAAGATTGTGAATGGGTAGCCTGGATGGTGAGGGTATAGGGGTGGAGTCTTTAATACCTTTTAGTATGGCTTTAACTTGGTAGGATGACAGAAATTGTTGTCTATTAGGCCAGGTTGTGAGGATGTGATGTTGAATACCTGTGACATACAACTTAATGGTGTTATATGATAGTGTCAGATGAAGGTGGCAAAAAGAAATAAATGCGATGATAGTCTCAATGGAGAATTGATCAGTGACATTAAAGTACAGCAAGAATTTATTGAAAACATGATAAGCTCTTCCATATGCTTTCCTGGTGTTATTGGAAAGACCGAGTTGCGAAAGTTGTTGCCCGTGATAGAGCAATTCTTTTAGTCCTAAACCAATTCCTGCCACTGAGGTGCTGGAGTTGGTGTCGGAGTAGCTGTTGGTAGTGCTGCCCGGAACTCCTGAAACCGAGACTAAGTGATCAGCAGCGATATTGAGCACCCCAGGAACATGAATGCAAGTTAAAAGAAAACTGTGTTTAGCAGCTAGCCAAGTGAGAGTCCTCATAAACCGCATGATGGCCAAGGGAGAGGAACGACCCTTGTTTACAATATGGCATGTTGCTATGTTGTCAGAGAAGCAACGCACCGTATTCCCAGACCAGCCAGCTCCCCACTTAACTGCTGCTGCCACAATGGGGTAAAGCTCGAACAAGGCTGATGTGTCTTTGAACTTGGGGATTGCAGTAATTTCCCCTGGCCACTTATCCCACATCCATTCATTGCCACAAATAGCTGCGAAACCTGACGTGGCAGCGGCATCCGTCCATAATGACACTGACTTATCTGACCATACCGGGATAAAAATGCTTTTCCCATTCCAATTTAGCAAAAATTCTCTCCACATATGTAGGTCAGCGGTGGCATGTATGTCTAACGTAATGCGGGTGGTATCAGAGTGAAACAGGGGAAATAGCCTAAGCAAACGGGATATGAACGCTCTCCCCTGTGGAATTATTTTCATGGCGAAATTTAGGGAACCCAACAGGGATTGTAATTCTTTACTATTACACGAGCCAACTGCTAGGTAAAGGTCAATGGCTGCTAGGATAGGATTAATCTTCTCCCCGGGGAGGCTAGCCTGCATATGTACAGAGTCCAGTACCACTCCCAAGAAGTTGATGATCGTATCTGGACCTTTAGTCTTTGCTGGTGAAACAGGTACCCCCAGTTGTGTGAACAGTCGCGTTATGGACAGGAGGCTACTAGGGGGTACCAGGTTCCTTTCTATGGTCAGGAAGTCGTCCAGGTAATGTATCACGGTTGGGCATTTACAGATGTTAAGCAGCATCCAGCACAACATCTCAGCAAATACATCAAAAATCCTGGGGCTTCTCTTAGAACCAAACGTGAGGCGTGTGAAAAAATAATACGAACCTTGCCACTTAACACCATGTAAATGCCACAGGGAAGGGTGGATAGGGAGTAACTTAAAGGCGTTTACAATATCAGTTTTACTCAGCCATGCCCCTACCCCGGCAGAGAGGATGGCAGTGATGGCATTATCTATGGTCGCATATTGGAGGGAAAATTCTTCTGATGGAATAAGAGAATTGAGACTTGGGGTAGGTCATGCATAGGGAGCAGATAGGTCGAGAATTAACCTTTGCTTATTGGAGGATTTGTTAGTGACCAGTCCTATAGGATTAGTTCTCCAGACCGCAAAAGGCGGGGAGACGAAAGGGCCTATTAAGAAACCTTGGTCAACTTCCTTCTGGAGGAGTAGGTTTATAGTGTCTGGAGCTGCTAGGGCTGTCTGCAAGTTTTTACATTCCAAGATTCCTGTAGGCATGTAAATAATACCCGTGTGAAACCCCAAAGTAAATCCTGCCACCAAAAACTCAACGAGATGTCGCGATGGGTGCTCACACAAAAGCTTTTCCAGTAGGGAGACATTAAGAGACGATAAATACTGCTTAGGATATAATTTATTGGGGCACATTACTTTTGAGTGAGCCCTGAAACATTGGGAGCAGACGTGAAGCAGTCTGCAGGCACTGTATCCGCAAGTGCCGGTATTAAAATTGTTACAGACTTGCGATTTTCCCAAAAACACTATATCACGGCCTAGTTTGTCTTTCAGCCCCCTGCCTGTTCTCCCAGTGGGCATGATATTAGTAGGGGGAAAAACGGCATTCACCTCGGGAGAGTTAGGGCACAGATTAGCCGTGTGGGAGTTGGACGAGCAAATGGCACAAGCTGGGGTTTTGAGGCCCGCAAAGTGCCGACAAAAAAGCTCTGTATCAAGCACACCCCAATCAGTTTGATGATTAAACTGAGTAAGAGCGGCCGACGCCTTCGCGGAAAAGGCATGGTGGTAGCTGTAAAAGGACGTACCACCGTACTTGTGCCCCAAATCCACCAGCTTGTGGAGATAAAGGTCCAACTCTTCTCTCCTATCCGGATATACTGAGCAAATCACATCTTTGTATATCCCGAAAGCTAAGACAAATTCGAGGATAGATAGCTTCCGATTTAACCTAGGATCCCTAGATTTTAATACCACCGACACATCCCCATATGCGTAGGTTCTATTTTCAAGGACATCTTGCGAGGCGATAAGAAGAGATACCAGATTGATATCCTTCCCTTCCAAGATTTCCTTCTTAGTGTTTGCAGGCACCATGTGTGCCGGATTAATAATAAGCGGATTTTTAAGACTGCTTGGTATATTACCCGGTAGGGGATCCAGGCGCACCGTAGCAACCGGGGTACCTAATGCAGAAGCTGACCGCTGCTGGCTATCTGCATCCAACTTGTCAAGTTTATCGGTAATACGGCCCAAAGAGGTGAAGACTGAGGACAAAACAGTATGCAGATCAGAAGACTGGCTGCCACTGGACCCTTCCCCCGCCCCTGAGTTATCAGTCTGTGTATTCAACAGCCTGCTTTCCTAGCAGTGGCTGGGAAAGGAATGTTCCTCTTTCCTAGTTCGGCAGTGTTCCGAGGAATGGTCCATGCCCTGAGTGATGCAGGGCTCGTATTGTCGTCCCCCCGGGATGGAGTGACTGATCTAGCCGGTGTGCTGGGGATGGACAAATCTTCCCCGCCTTCGGGTATTTGTGATATGCTACAACATAAAAATAATATGTTATCTGGGGTCCTACTGCACTGGCTGGTGTAACTAATGCCAAGCGGCGAAAAAATTACTTAAGACGTGACTGGTGAGGCCCTACTAGTTGCCAAGCGGCTTTGAGAGGCACTATCTATGATTTGGCTCGTGTGGGATACGTGGCTATTGGCATTATGGCAGGGTGATGGCCTCTCTGTGACTCGTAAAAGCATAAGACAGAATGGGAGTGACAGGTGAGGCCCTCTCTATGCATCCGAGCGAGGCGGCTAGCTATGAATTGGCCCGAGGGGATGCCGTACCTCCGAAATGAGGATGGGTGTTGGCCTCGCTGGACCACTAACGTAAGGCTTAGAACGCCAAGAAAAACATACCTGGAGGCTCCTATATTGTATGCCAGTATATCTAGCTTATTACCCGAAAAGAGTAGGTAGGGTGGGAGAGTTTATCAAGAGCAACATGACGTACCTTATGAGCAAATAGCCAGGTAGTAGGATAAGGTGATACAGGCGATCTGTAGTAACCTACGAGAGTAATAGTGAGTTTCCAGTGTTATTTCAATATGTACCCATCATTCCCCCTGTAAAACAAGATACCTACCGGAAAATATTCCAACAATAGAAGACTGGAATCAAATACTCCAAATGATCAAGGATGCCTATGCCTAGTAATACAGAAAAATATACATAAGGACCCAGGTCATGTGAGTTCACCAGAGGATTATTAATCGTGATTACTGACCTATGACAGGTGAACAGTTGATAGGGTAGCAGCACCTTGTGGATGTTTGTGATACTGACACATAAGAC